TAAGCCGCTCTGAGACTGCTTTGGGTAGTGAAGGGTGGGGTATAAATCCAATCTCCTCTTTTTTTCTTTTTTGCCAGCAGAAATAATGGGTAGGATCCAGCCTGTTGTTCTAACTAGTCTGTCAAAAGCAAACACAAACCCCTTTAGAACTTGCAAAGGCCAGGGGAAGCAGACAAAAAACCAGTGATGTAGCAAAATAGATGGTTACAGTGCAGTCCTTAGCAGAGTTTGTTTATTATTTAGCTCAGGGCAGGTTACAACATACATACAACAAAGAGCTACAGAATTAAAATAATACAATTCCAGCATTACATGGCGTCTGCTACATGTTTAGTGAGTCCCAAGGGACTCTATGTGTAGCTGTAGATGAAACAATCCAAAGCAAATGGGTGGGTGAGGAGAAGAGGAGGAGGAGATTGGATTTCTACCCCGCCCTTCACTACCCAAAGGAGTCTTAGAGGGGCTTACAATCTCCTTTCCCTTCCCCTCCCCACAACAGACACCCTGTGAGGTAGGTGGGGCTGAGAGAGCTCTCCCGAGGACTGCCCTTGAGAGAACAGCTCTGAAAGAACTTATGGCTGACCCAAGGTCACACCAGCAGTTGCTTGTAGAGGAGTGAGGAATCAAACCCGGTTCTCCTGGATCAGAGTCCACACTCCTAACCACTACACCAAACTGAGGAAGTCTGCCATGATAGAATAAAGCAAAATAAGGCAGAATAAAGCAGGGGAGGGAAGGCCAGTATAGGTGTGTTGCTGCCAGGGGACGGGGTCATTTCGTAGAAAAAGAGGTGCAGGAGCTCATTAGCATAACTTATTTGCATATGCCACACCCCCTGACATCACTAGAGGTGTGTCAGAAGGTAACACCCACCGCTCAGGCTCCACTGGACTGTTTTGGATCGCTAGCTATTTGGGGGGGGGGGGGCAGATCTGCCCTCACAGAGGAGGGGGAGCTTGTACCTGAATAAAACTTGTTCTTAAAGGTGCCAATGGACTGTTTTGGGCCTGGGGGAGCTCTGCAACTTGCCTGGCTGCTTCTTGCTCTGACTGAGGGCTGCCGGGAGCAGGGGGTGGGGCTTGTTGCATGTGCCCGCCCCCTGGGCTCTTTACTGCCGGAGCTCCGCTCCTGTGAGCTCCTGCAGGAAATGACCCCTGGTTGCCGCCACCTCAACCATAGGCCTGGCAGAACATCTCCATTTTATAGGCCCTGCGGAACTGTATTAGATTCCACAGGGCCCAGATCTCACCCGGGAGAGTGTTCCACCAGGCCGGTGCCAGCGCTGAAAAGGCTCTAGCTCTTGTTGAGGCTAAGCGGCTATCTTTGGGCCCGGGATCACCAGTAGGTGTTGATCAGAGGAACACGAGGCCCTTCGAGGGACGTACTGAGAGAGATGGCCCTGTAGATACGTTTTTCTAAGTCCATTGAAGTCAATGAATTTAGAAAGGTATAACTCAGTTTAGGATTACACTGTAAATTGGGGGGGGGGGGTTTTAAAATTATCTCTTCAGATCTTTCTCAGCCTCCTTGTATTCCACATTCTCAAAACACCTCATCAGAACACGAACTGGTGAAAGGTGCATTGCCTTAAATAAAGAGAGACTGAGAAGCCAGCAAAAAGACCCAAGTGCTATTCAAACCCTGAAGGATCCTTGTCACTAAATCCCTCAGGAAACTTTAAAGTTTTGATGGGATTTAGACTTCTGTGTCAGATTAACCTGTAACCTGACGCAGAACTCGTAAATCTCATCAAAACCTTTTGTTCCCCCAGTGACTTAGGAACATTAACAGGCCTGGATAATCCAGGCTAACCTGATCTCATCAGAACTTGGAAGCTGAGCAGGATCAGCCCTGGTTAGTGTTTGGGAGACCACCAAGGAAGCCCAGGGTCGTGAGGCAGGGGCAGGCAAGGGCAGTCCACCTCTGACCGTCTCTTGCCTTGAAACCCCACCATGCTGGGATCCATCAGTCCAGCATCGCAAGGGTCACAAGCAGTGTTCCCTCTAAGCTGAGGTAGTGTGAGCCGGCTCACAGTTTTTTAGCCTCTGGCTCACACATTTTTGTCGTAGCTCAGGAAGGGATGGCTCCAGAGCAAACTGATTTGTGCCGCAGCCAAACCGCCCGCTCACAAATTTAATGCCAGGAGCTCACAAAGTAGAATTTGTGCTCACAAGACGCCACAGCTTAGAGATTGGTCCCAAACAATGTTCCCTCTAAGCTGTGGGGTCTTGTGAGCAAAAATTCTACTCTGTGAGCTACTAGCGTCAAAGTTGTGAGTGGTCCATTTGGTGACTGCATAAATTAGTTTGCTCCGGAGCCCCGTCCTTTCTGAGCTAAGACAAAAATGTGTGATCTGGAGGCCAAAAAACTGTGAACTAGCTCATACTCAGCTTAGAGGGAACACTGGTCACAAGATCTTTCCTGCTGTCCCCTTTCCACAGCGGTTCTGTCCGAGACCCTGGGGATGTTGATTCCTAAGATTGCGGGACCATGCAGCCTCATAGACCAGCCTTTTGGAAGGCTGCGCTGAGAAGGGAACGAAACGGCCCCTTCTATATGGCAGCCCCGTAAACTTGCAGGGATCTTTGTCATTTTGGGTGGGTCCCACAGCCCGGAGAACCAAGGACTCGTAAAATCATAGAACGACATTTGAGTCTAGTGGCACCTTTAAGACCAACGAAGTTTTATTTGAGGTATGAGCTCTCACATGCATGCACACTTCGTTAGATGCTGCTGGGAGAATACAAGGACTCAAATATTGTTTCGCTGCTTCAGACCAACATGGCCGCCCACCTGAATCTATCACAGAATCATAGAGTTGGAAGGGGCCCCACTGGCCATCTAGTTCAACCTCTGCTCAGAAGGTACTGAGGGGAGTGGGAAGAACATCCACAACTGTCAACGCCTTCTGCAGACAAATCACTGGATTCCCCACTCACTATTCTAGATCAGGGGTGTCGAACTCATTTGTTCTGGAGGGCCAGATTCGACATAAACTGGACTTTGTCGGGTCGGGCCACATGTGTCATAAAATGTAATGCCAGGTAGCAGAGATATAAACTTTATAAAGGACACAAAGATTTCTTTTTTACTTAAAATGAAAACACGCTTGAAACATTAGCACTTTGCAACATTTTGTTTATTTAACAGTTTCTGATAACTGACACTTGTTGCTCTGAATTATTGCATCAAAATGTCTGTGCTGTTGCAATCGGGGAGGGGCCTCGGGGAGCGGAAGCGGAAGTGCAGGGAGCGGAAGCTTGCCTATCGATCTCTCCTGAGCGATTGAGAGAAGTGGAAAAGCAAGCTATGACTCAGCAGCAGCAGAACTGGAGGAGGAAGAAGAAGACAGCCAGTCCCTTGCGGGCCTGATCGAAGCCCTCTGGGGGCCTGATCCGGCCCCCGGGCCGCATGTTTGACACCCCTGTTCTATGTAATTACTCGCTATTGATGCCATCATTCAGATGGTCGTGTTCCGTTCTTTCCCGGTGCCTGAAAGTTTACTAAATAAGCAAATCATAGCATCAAATGATTGTATGCATCCGTGGGAGGTTGTTACCGGCTGACCATTTAAATTGTTTTATATAGTTTTTTAACATCAACGCTTGGCTGCAGTTGGCCGTTCTAACGATTCTGAACGCTGTTTTATTGCTGACCGTGTGGCTATTTATTGATTGAGCTACAGCTATGGATGGCCGGCTTGATGGTTCCGGGTGTCATTGATGGATTTCTCCCCCACCACCACCCCTTTGGTTTATCCGGGCTAGTTAGCAGATGGGTATTTGTATTTTCTATCGAATCTGGATGTTGTCCATCAACACCGTACGGGAGGGAACTGTTTTAAATAAATGAAACAATTGATCGACGCCCTTGCTCAAACGGACAATATTTCCATAAGGGCTTTCTGGCTTGAAGTACATATTCCAATACGGGACAAACGGATTCCGGTCTCCATAACACATCCTAATCTTATCTGGTCTGACTCACTTGCGAAGTGCTTTTCTGACTGATCGCTTCCCCTAAACAGTCTGCCTTTCTTTCCTCCGTAGTTATCGTCTGTCTCTTGCTGGCCCTGTTCGCAGCGGGATTGATCCACCGAGTCTGCGTCACCACCTGGTAAGAAGGAGGGACTTGCAGCCTGGGGGTGATCTTCATGCCCTTGTGGGGATTCGAACCTGGGTCTGGGTCAGTTTGGTGTCGTGGTTAAGTGCGCGGACTCTAATCTGGGAGAGCCGGGTTTGATTCCCCACTCCTCCACTTGCACCTGGCTGGATGACCTTGGGCAAGCCGTAGTTCTGACAAGAGCTGTTCTTGAAAAAGAGCAGTTTCCGTCAAGAGCTCTCTCAGCCCCACCCGCCTCACAGGGTGTCTGTTGTGGGGAGGGGAAGGGAAAGGAGTTTGTAAGCCGCTCTGAGACACCTTTGGGTAGTGAAGGGCGGGGTAGAAATCCAATCTCTTCTTCTTCCCAAGTTCCAGACCAGCACTCAGACTGCACTGAGAGCCAATTTGGTGTAGCGCTTAGGGGCGTGGACTCTAATCGGCGAAGAACCGGGTTTGATTCCCCATTCCTCCACACGCAGCTGCTGGTTGACTTTGGGTCAGTTACAAGTTCTCTCAGAGCTGTCCTCTCACGAGCAGTCCTCGAAAGAGCTCTCTCAGCCCCACCTACCTCACAGGGTGTCTGTTGTGGGGAGGGAGAGGGAAAGGAGTTTGTAAGCCCCTCTAAGACTCCTTCGGGTAGTGAAGGGCGGGGTACAAATCCAATCTCGTCCCTTCGTCTGGTCATAGCACACGTTCATCTGGAAAAACAGTCCTCCTCAGGGAAACAACAGCCACTGTGGAGTAGTAGTTAGAGCAGGGGGGTCCTTAACCTTTTCTGAGCCTGCAGGCGCCTGTGGGATTCTGCCACAGCATGGTGGGCGCAGCCACAAAATGGCTGCCGCAAAAGAGGTACAGCAGGAGGTGGAGCCAGCCACAAAATGGCTGCCTCTGCTTACCTTCAGTCGCACAGCGAAGATCCGTGGCGGTGTGGTCGCAGCTGCCGCCAAAGCAGTGTTCTTAAAAATCTGCACAGCCAATCAAATCTCCGGTGGCCAATATGAAGCCCTGGCGACGAAAGCCCCACCTGGCCCCACACCTGGCAGGCACGGTGGAGCCCATGGCCCCCACTTTGGGAACCCCTGGGTGAGAGTGTCACACGAAGATCTGAGAGACCCAAGTTCAGATTCCCCACTCTGAAGAAGATGAAGAGATTGGATTTATACCCCCGCCCTTCACTCGGAGTCTCAGAGCGGCTTACAAACTCCATTCCCTTCCCCTCCCCACAACAGGCACCCTGTGAGGTAGGTGGGGCTGAGGGAGCTCTGAGAGAACTTGTGACTGATCCAAGGTCACCCAGCTGGCTGCATGTGGAGGAGTGGAGAATCAAACCCGGGTCTCCAGATTAGAACTCACTGCTCTTAACCACTACACCAAACTGGCTCTCAGCCATGAAGTGTGCGTGGGCCGGTCACACATTTCCAGCCTAACCTACCTGGCAGAGTTGTTTTAAATGGGGAAGGAAGAACCATATTTCCCCCTCTGGAGTGCCTTGGAAGAAGGACCTGAGAGGGGAAGTCTTTAGATTATTTTTTTTCCTTTGCTGATTTTCCCCATAAGACACTTAAACAAGCTTACCTCAAGATTTAAAAAATGAAGCAAAACCCCTAAAAATACGTAATAAATTAAACCGAAATCAATACGAGACGGCCGAACGGCAGAATAAAAATACTACCGTAGGAAGCGCAGTAAAACAATCTTGGCAAAAGCAGTCTCACAATAAATTTAACTAACATAGAAATGACTCTTTTTTTTCCAGTTAGTGCAATGTTTAGATAAAGAGCAGTTTGCCTCTGGCGCCTCAGACTTGAAAGATAAGGCACCAGATGAATCACTGCAGGGAGGGGCGTCCCAAAGCTAAGACCGCTGTCTGCCGTCTTGCTTCAGGATTTGTATTGATTTAGTACATTTTTTTTAAACCTCCTCTTCCTTCGAGAACCTCAAGATGGCATACATTTCCCTTCCTTTTAGTACCGCCTAATGCGTGGTGTTAAAACTCACACTACGCTTCAGTTCTTTCTGGTGGTTCCAGACTTCAGAAATAAGAACATCAGAAGAGCCATGCTGGATTAGACAAAACAGTCCATCTAGTCCAGCATCCTGTCTCACACGGTGGCCTCAGCCAGTTCCTCTGGAGGGCCAACAATACGGCCTCTCTGCCGAGGCCTTCCCCTCATTAAGAATTTAAGAAGAGCCCTGCTGGGTCAGGCCAGTGAGGGTCCATCTAGTCCAGCATCCCGTCTCACACAGTGGCCTCAACCAGTTCCTCTGGAGGGCCAACAACAGGGCAGAGAGGCCGAGGCCTTCCCCTCATTAAGAATTTAAGAAGAGCCCTGCTGAGTCAGACCAGTGAGGGTCCATCTAGTCCAGCATCCCATCTCACACAGTGGCCTCAACCAGTTCCTCTGGAGGGCCAACAACAGGGCACAGAGACCGAGGCCTTCCCCTCAGATGAACACAAGAAGAACCCTGTAGGATCAGACCGATAGTCCATCTAGTCCAATATCCTGTCTCACACAACGGCCAACCAGTTCTTCTAGAGGCAGGCCAACGACAGGGCTTAGAGTCCGAGGCCTTCCCTCGATGTTGCTTCCTGGCACTGATATTAACAGGTTCTCTTTAATCCCCATGGCTGGTAGCCACTGATAGACCTCTCCACGAATTTGTCTAATCTCCCATTAAAGCCATCTAAGTCTGTGGCCATGACTACATCCGTATTTTAATCATTCGTCGTGTAAAGACTGTCAAGAGTCTTCTAAAACGTCCTCCTTTCCCATAGCTTCATCTTCTCCCTGATAGCCCTGTACTACATCAACAAGATCTCCTCCACGCTGTACCAGTACCAGTCGGCGACTCCGATGCCCGCTCCCGCCAAGGCCGTCAGCAAAAGCAGGAAGAGGAATTGATGACCTGGAGGGGCGGCTGGTCCTTGCTTCTTAGACTTGGGTGGGGGACAGGATCCCGCTCAGCACAATCCGCTCATCCAATAAAACTTTTTCTACAAAAAAAGCTAAGGTGGACTCTTCTCTGTCCTTAGGAAATCAAAAAATTGGGAAGGGGGGGGGCCCTTTATTTTTACCGAAGTCTTGGAGCAAGCGCCAGTACTGTATCTACATCTGGGTAACCAAAGTGAGGAACACGCATAGCGGATAAGGGAAACACTTCTGCTGAGTGTTTGTGAACAACTCAGTGGAGCGGTAAGGGTGGAGCGGAAGTTAAATATGAGCAGTCTGCGTGGTGCGGCGACAAAAAAGGCTAATGCGATCTTGGGGGTGTATCAACAGAGGCGTAACATCCAAATCACAAAATGATGTAATCCCGCTGTACACTGCTTTGGACAGGCCGCACCTGGAGTATTGTGTGTAGTTCTGGAGGCCTCACTTCAGAAAGGATGTGGACAGGATGGAGCGGGGTGCAGAGGAGAGCGACGGGGACGATTGGGGGCCTGGAGACCAAGCGGCCCTGTGAGGAAAGGCTGAGGGACCTGGGTATGTTCAGTCTGGAGGAAAGAAGGTTGAGGGGGGGACAGGATGGCTCTCTTTTCTTTTTTTTCTTTTTTTTTTTAGAACACAATTTTATTTTTCATGAAAATACTGACATGTCATCAGTTCCATTAATGTTTCAATTTTTACCCCCAATATCCCCACTTTACTCTCCCCCTCCCCGTGGCTTCCCGCAATGCTTCCCCCCTCGTCACTCCAGTACACCTTAAGATAACATCATATTCTAGTTTCAATATTGTTCTAAATATAATAGATTGTGCTTTACATCCCAGTTCTTTTCTAGGTAAATTTTAAAGTCTCTACATTCCTCATAGAATTCCTGATCTTCTTTGTTATTCAGTTTTTTCGTAATGTTATCCATCTCAGCCATAAACAAAGTTTTTTGTATCCATTCTTCTAACTCTGGAATTCTTTCTTGTTTCCAACATTGTGCATAGAGTATTCTCGCCGTTGCAACCAGGTACCAAAATAAAGTTCTTTTCGTAATATTCAATTCTTCCATTTTAAGTCCTAAGAGCAGAATTTCTGGTGCTTTTTTAAAGGAACATTTCAAAAAAAATTGCATTTCGCTGTGAACTCTAGTCCAAAAGTCCACAGCTTTTTCACATGTCCACCACATATGATAAAATGAACCTTCATGTTTTCTACATTTCCAACATTTGTTAGAAAAGTTTTGGTTCATGTTGGCTATTTTCTTGGGTGTCATATACCACCTGTACATCATTTTATAACAATTCTCTTTCACATTGGTACATGATGAGATCTTGATCGAATTTTTCCACAGATATTCCCAAGAGTCCATAGAGATCTCAGTATTAACATTTACTGCCCATTTAAGCATTTGCTCTTTCACCGTCTCATCTTCCGTATACCATTTTAACAACATTTTATATACAGTAGAAATCGCCTTTTTCCCTCCTCCCTCCCAGACAGTTTCAATTTCATTTTTCTCCTCTCTAAATCCATATTTTTTCTTATCTGCTTTGAACAAATCAACTATCTGTAAATAACTCAACCAGACATATTTATACTGTATCTCATCCTGCTCTTTTATTTGCCATTCTGTACCCTCTTTTTTTATTAAGTCTCTGTAAGGCAACCACTCTTTGCCGCTTTGTCTCGTATATGACGATAGAACTTCTGCTGGTACAATCCACAGTGGTCTCGCATCAAAGAAAAATCTTTTATATCTCGTCCATGTTGTGAATAAGGCATTTCTTACAAAGTGATGTCTAAAGAAATTGTCCGCCTTATTCTTTTCATACCAAAGGTATGCATGCCAACCAAATCTGCAATTATGTCCTTCCAATGTCAGCAGTTTTTTGTCTCTCAAATTGACCCATTTTTCTAACCATACTATACAAACTGCATCATAATACAAACGCAAATTTGGTAGCTGCAATCCCCCTCTCTCTTTAGCATCACACAAAATTTTCATCTTAATTCTAGGCTTCCTGCCCGACAGGATGGCTCTCTTGAAGCCTTTGAAGGGCTGTCACTCAGAGGAGAGCAGGGCAATATTTCTGTCGGCAGCAGAGGAGAGGACTCGCGAGAATGGGTTTCAATTAAGAGTGGGAAGGTACCGGTTGGATCGCAGGAAAAACTTTTTGACAGAGTCGTGCCAACAGTGGAATGGGCTGCCTCGGGAGGTGGTGAGCTCCCCCTCCCTGGCCGTCTTCAAGCAGCGGCTGGACGAACACTTGTCAGGGATGCTCTAGGCCAATCCTGCATTGAGCAGGGGTTGGGACGAGATGGCCTGTGTGGCCCCTTCCAGCTCTGCGATTCTATATGAATTTAGTGTTCAGAAAGGAAACTACCCAGATGCAAAGACAAGAATCCTTGTGGAGTGGAAAGCCAGAGGCGGGAAGAACTTATCACTGCTCTCGCAGCACATTTCATGGCTACAAGAAACAACGGCAGGCTGGTACCATGTCCAGGTTGTGGAGAGGCTTCAGACCGTATAACATGTTGGTGATACGACACGATTCGAACTGGGAACTTCAGGGCTGATATTTTTGCCAGCTATGTTCATCCAGTCTCCATGGATAGGCAGGGGTGTGTGTGGTGGGGTATCTCTTCCCCTCCCCCTTCCCACCCACTGGTATTGTCTGTGAGCCAGGGCTCTTTTTGTAGAAAAAGTCCAGCAGGAACATATTAGCATAATAGACCACACCCAACAGCAGGAACTCATTAGCATAGTAGGCCACATCCCTGACAGCATGGCACATTAGCATATTAGGCCACACCCCCATGTCGCCAGAAGTGTCGTCATCCAGCCACACCCACCTTTTGCTTCTTATTCTGTTTACCCTGTTTGTTGTCAAAACCCAGGGCCTTTTTTTGTAGCAGGAACTCCTTTGCATGTTAGGCCACACACCCTTAAGGTAGCCAATCCTAGTGAGTTTCTGCTGTTGGGTGTGGCCTATTATGCTAATGAGTTCCTGCTGGGCGTGGCCAACTCGGGAGCCAGCCGGAACTCCGTTCCTGTGCAT